AATTGTAGATTTACACTTTTTCTGATACAAATGGATCAATGTATCTTATTTGTAGTTATCTTAGTTTTCACTTGCTGCTTTTAAGTTATTTACGGCACTGGAAGCAAAAAAAGAAACTAAAATAAAAGTAAAACTTTTTCTATGCTCAAGCTAGCTGTTGCTGTAAAGCTGAATTAAAATAATACAGTATGTATCGAGAAAGAGAGAGTATACTGTATATTGTACATATACATACACAGACAGACAATATATCACACACATATGTTTAATATATAACTTTCCTGGTCATATCCATGGCAGCGCTGACAATTGGGTTAATCCTCATACCCCTAGTTGACAGGAACAGAACGGGTTAAACAGTGCTACCCTTTCCCATAAAAGCCCCTCCTACTTCCCAGTTCCTCAGTCTTTTTTGTTCCTGTCCCCCTAGGTTATTTTGTTGCTTATGAGATGGAGTCATCTGCATCTTCGGGGAAGAAAGCTGCTAAGTCGCCCAGATGCTCAGATGCTACACCCGGATCGCCCGGATGCTACACTGTGGTAAACATGGCCCTGTCACAATGTTTTTGAGACCTGTTGCTACCATCAATTTCAAAATTAACTAATTTTTTTCTTAAAATGGTACATAAAAGCAGAGACATACAGGTGAAACTCGAATAATTAGAATATCGTGCACAAGTTAATTTATTTCACTAATGCAACTTAAAAGCTGAAACTAATATATTAGATAGACTAATTACATGCAAAGCAAGATAGTTCAAGCCGTGATTTGTCATAATTGTGATGATTATGGCTTACAGCTCATGAAAACCCCAAATCTACAATCTCAGAAAATTAGAATATTGTGAAAAGGTGCAATATTCTAGGCTCAAAGTGTCCCACTCTAATCAGCTAATTAAGCCATAACACATGCAAAGTGTTCCTGAGCCTTTAAATGGTCTCTCAGTCTGGTTCAGTACTGACCTGACAGTTGTGCAGAAAACCATCATTGACACCCTCCATAAGGAGGGAAAGCCTCAAAAGGTAATTGCAAAAGAAGTTGGATGTTCCCAAAGTGCTGTATCAAAGCACATTAATAGAAAGTTATGTGGAAGGGAAAAGTGTGGAAGAAAAAGGTGCACAAGCAGCAGGGATGACCGCAGCCTGGAGAGGATTGTCAGGAAAAGGCCATTCAAAAGTGTTGGGGACTTTCACAAGGAGTGGACTGAGGCTGGAGTCAGTGCATCAAGAGCCACCACACACAGACGGATCCTGGACATGGGCTTCAAATGTCGTATTCCTCTTGTCAAGCCACTCCTGAACAACAAACAACGTCAGAAGCGTCTTACCTGGGCTAAAGAAAAACAGACCTGGTCTGTTGCTCAGTGGTCCAAAGTCCTCTTTTCTGATGAGAGCAAATTTTGCATCTCATTTGGAAACCAAGGACCCAGAGTATGGAGGAAGAATTGAGAGGCACACACTGCAAGATGCTTGAAGTCCAGTGTGAAGTTTCCACAGTCTGTGTTGATTTGGGGAGCCATGTCATCTGCTGGTGTTGGTCCACTGTGCTTCATTAAGTCCAGGGTCAACGCAGCCGTCTACCAGGAGATTTTGGAGCACTTCATGCTTCCTTCCGCAGACAAGCTCTATGGGGATGCTGACTTCATTTTCCGGCAGGACTTGACACCTACCCACACTGCCAAAAGCACCAAAACCTGGTTCAATGACCGTGGGATTAATGTGCTCGATTGGCCAGCAAACTCGCCTGACCTGAACCCCATAGAGAATCTATGGGGCATTGCCAAGAGAAAGATGAGAGACATGACCGAACAATGCAGAAGAGCTGAAGGCCACTATTGAAGAATCCTGGTCTTCCATAACACCTCAGCAGTGCCACAGGCTGATAGCTTCCATGCCACGCCGCATTGAGGCAGTAATTGCTGCAAAAGGGGCCCAAACCAAGTACTGAGTACATATGCATGCTTATACTTTTCAGAGGTCCGATATTGTTCTATGTACAATCCTTGTTTTATTGATTGCATGTAATATTCTCATTTTCTGAGACTGTGGATTTGGGGTTTTCATGAGCTGTAAGCCATAATCATCACAATTATGACAAATCACGGCTTGAACTATCTTGCTTTGCATGTAATGAGTCTATCTAATAGATTAGTTTCACCTTTTAAGTTGCATTAGTGAAATAAATGAACTTTTGCACGATATTCTAATTATTCGAGTTTCACCTGTACATACAAGTCATGTTAGATTTGTATGTTTTAGAAAATATGTCAAGTTGCACATGGAATCTTCGGTTTAATTTACAGTGCCCATAAAATGATTTGATTTCATGGCTTTTTGCCATGACACTTTGAATCACTGTTGTTGTTTTTTCTTTTTACATTGATCAACAGAAATACTCTCTTTAATGTTAAAGTGAAAAGAGATCTCCGCACAACACAAAATAACTGACAGCATAACTATACACCCCCTTCAAGGACCAAAATAGGTAAGGCAGGACTAACAGCTTCTGCAGGTCTTTCCCCATCAGTTGTCAGTCCCAGCCCTATACAGGAACATAGGCTGCTGACAGCCCATACAACCAGGGTTGTACAAGAAGAGGAGGGGGAAGCTGTCTGTGGCTTACAGCAAATAGAAAGCATTTGCCTGTAACATTTGAACTGTGAAGGTGTTAGGATATGCCTGAAACTTCAGGAGCCAGAGCACAGACTTGTCTGGCATTGTAATGTGGGCTGCGCATCAGGAGGGTCTGCGATTTTTCTTTTCTTTTTCTGGTGTCCAACACTTTAGTGCTCCAAAAGACAAAGTAAAGTAGCTGCACTTCACAGTATCCCAAGCATAGATACATTTAATTGGAGTCTCAGCCATGTGCTTGTTGTGTACCTCAACAATAAATGTACGGTATCTGTGATTGGGATACTTCGGAGTGTGCCTCTTTCATTTGTCTTTTATTGCATATTCTGAGAGTGTGAACAAGTGCCTGTGTGGTTGCACACCCGGTGAGGAGAAGCCAGTGGGACTTTAGCAGTGGTGTCTGTTTTATTTTTTATTCATGTGTAAACTTCAGTGCTGCAGTTTGCTATCAGGCCACATATTGGGCACCAGGGATCTAGGGAAAGGCAATAAAACCTTAGAATGTGTGATACAATTTGCTCTAACAGGAAAAACTTGCTTCAGGTTCCATTTAACTAGACCTCTTTAAGCTCTGCCCACTGTTCTCATACCTACTTTGCGACACCAGCATTAGTATGCCCTAGGTCTTTCACATTGTTGATCATATTAACATCCCTGCCTTGGGGTAAGCCACTACAACCTTACAACCTTTGTGTCAGGAAGGTTGTGCCAGAATGCACCAAGCAAGCACATAGAGAAAGGGAACATTAAACAAGGGGGCGCAAGGGGCACACTACCCAGCACTTGAGAGGTTTAAGTGTTAACCGCTTGACAGTAGAGTGAAACACCTGGACAGGTCCACAATATATGGTGTAGGGTTCCCATGTGTGTATTATACCTACAGCACATATGGCACACTGAGGGATATATGGGTTGTAGAATATTGGGCTTACAGTACCAATGCATAAGAATTGTATATGCATTTTCTTGTAAGTTGTACATATGGAGCTTAATTGAGCTTTGGTCCAACAGTTTTTCCATAAAGGGATAGCTAGTTCTTGCCCAATTATACCCTCCCTCTTTTTCATATTTGAGTGTTTAGAGAATGGATGGTCAAGTATGGTTACCAGTTTCTTAAAAATTTGTGGAATAAGAGCTTTCCCTAAGGTCAAACTCTGCAGATATGACTGAAGTGAGATCTTTAGTCATAGTGGTGCATTTGGAGATATCTATACATTATGAACCCCACCTCATTCTTATTCAAAGAGGAGGACAGCTTTTAACCTGGTATAGCTAAGAGCTTAGTAACAATTTAGAGCTCAGAATTTAGGAGTGCATCACAGCCAGGTGGGGTAAATTTAGTGTATGGGGGGCGCCCGAGTTTTGTCTTGCCTAGGGCAGCCCCAAACCTAAATACACCACTGGCAGTAACTAGCAGTATCCTGTAGGTCTTTTCCCTGTTTGGAAATTACTGTGATATACAAATGTAACATAGTGTCAGATATTGGGTCCCCTTTTAAAAAAAGAGTTGAAATAAACAGGCATCTCCAGACCAGATTTGGATGTTTCTGTGGATAGAAAAAGTGCAATGGTCTGGACATGGTGTAAAAAGGCCATAAAGAAGAGCAAAAAGTTTTGAAGCACAAATATGGTAAACCATTAGACCCTGTCGCCTTATTATTCAGAAGCTGCTTGACAGTTTCATGACATTGTTCTGGTGTTATGGGGTTAGTCAGTGAGGTCGCCTCTGCTCAAGTAAATTGGGTTATACTGCTATTAAGTAACTACTGATGAATGCATTCATGAAGTGAAATGTCATCCCCGCATTGCACCTCCTGATAGAGAGCAGAATAGTAATCAGCAAATATTTCTAAAAAGGGTACTGCGTATGCATACGTACTGCGTATGCCCAAATTCATCAGTCCCATCCAAAAGGCCGTGTGGCGGCCGACAGAGGCATGCCATGGCCGTCACCAGTAATCCAATGTATGTAAACCGCACTCAACAGCCAGGACCTCGATGTAAAAAGGTTTATTCCCAAGAATCTACAATGTTTCAAACATGACAAGATCCACAGACTCTGACATGTTTCGCCAAAAAGGCTTAACCCCTTCATGACTGAGGCCTTTTTTTCATTTTTTGCACCCATGTTATATTCCACATTTTAGGCCTGAAAATTACTTAAAACCCCCACACATTATATATTTTCTGAATGCCAAGACCCTATACAATATAATGGTGGTAGTTGCAAATTTTTATGTTGCGCAACTCTTTATTAAACCACAAAATTTAGTGATACATTTAATTAAATGCCCCAAAACACAACAAAATACAAATTTTTTAAATGAAGTATAAAAGATGAGGTTACAACAAGTAAAACCATACCCAACATGCCCAGTTTACAAATTGCGTGCGTCCGTGAAACGGCGAAAAACTGCAGTACCCCAAAAAGTCCACAGAAGACGCTTTAAAAGCCCCCACAGGTCATCAATTTAGAGATACTCCAAAATACTGGCCCTAGAATGATTGCTCTCACTCCAGCGTGCGCGGCGATACCCAACATGTGTAGCGCGTTCGTTGTTTTCATACGTTATTTTATTTGATTTTAAAAACTGTTTTTTTTAACTTTACTTTGACTGCTATCACATGGGGGGGCTTAAAAGCCCCCCCATGTGATAGCAGATGGTGGTGACAGGTACTCTTTAAGGTGATGCTGGGGGTCCAAAAGACCCCCAGTGTCACCTTTACACTGAAAATAAGCTATTGAAGTGCAGATCGCACTTCAATAGCTTATAGCTGGGCTGCAGGAGCCCAGAACTGACAGCCCAGGGACCGGAAGTGATGCAATCTGCATCGCTCCCGGTCCCATAGAACGGGGAGGGGATCGATGAACGGAAGTTCGTCGACCTCCTCCCCAGCTCCCCGCGGACACCAAGGGCGCCGGTCCCGGGCCCGTAGGAGGGGCAACGGAGCCCGGGAAGCACGGCGGCGGTGTCCGGCGGGGGGGCCCCTTCTTCAGGACACAGAAGCGATCTGGCGACAGGTAAGTCGCCAGAATCGCTTCTGTTGTAAAGCCGACAGTCGGCCCTACAAGTTTAAACAGAGTCCCGGAGGCAAAAGTCGCCGGGAGTCTGTTTAAACAGCCCCGATGCTGGCGACGTACACTGTACGTCGTCAGTCATGAAGGGGTTAATCAGAGACACCCTCTCTCTCACTCTCTCTCAATGTCTCTATGATTAAGCCTTTTTGGCGAAACTTGGCAGAGCCTGTGGATCTTGCCATGCTTGTAACATTGAAGATCCTGGCTGTTGAGTGCGGCTTTACATACATTACAACTGCTTTACAATAGCAAATATTTGTGCTATTTTCTTGGGACCATAAGCAACTAGCCCGGCAGAGTCATAGACGACATGTGGATGGACTACAATCTCAAATCTAGTTTACTCATTTATATTGAGATTGTAGTCCATCATGGGAGTAAGTTTGGAGACACATAGGGAACATGGATAACAAAAGTAGCCACCCTCCAGAAGGAAGGACAGCGTCAGTATGAATTCAGAGATGATTTGAGGATCTACAGCCGAGTGATACACAAATAAGATACATTTTATTTAATAGTTGAGTTACTTAAATGCATTTTAAAGATTTAACTCCTGGGCTTAGTGTCACTTTAAAAAACAGTGTACTTTTTTCTGAGCACAGTGCTTCTGCTTGTGTCACTACAGTGGGAGAACATAGGAAGGCAGAATGAAATGTGGAAAAAGGCATACAGGAAATGTATGTGAATGTGGTTCTCAGCATCTATTTAAAGGTATTTATGGTGATCAAATGGATTTAAAAAGTACGAAATATCGGGTGAGAGATGTTTAAAATGGCACGCTAAAGCAAATATGACTTGTTTTATGACTTTATTGGAACTTTAATATGTATTTCCACTCTTGAACCCAAATTGGGATAACACCTATGCTATATTTGTTACATGTTCCCATGCACATTGGAACAAATGGAGACATTTTTGAAAAATAAAATTTAAATTGCTTTTACTTGGGTTAGGGTTTCTTGGCTTCTTAAGGGTTAACATTTCAGAAGGACAGAACACTGTAGATGCTCAGTAAAAACATTGATTCAGCCATGTTCCCAACTACAACAAACATCTAAAAGGTAGGAAATATTTTTCGTTATGCTGTGTGAATGGGAACACATTAGAGAAGTTTTCTCAAATTTGACTGCAAAAGTGGAAATACACTTTAAGTAAGCCTGACACAAAGATGGGTTTTACTTAATAAACATTCTATAGTCATATTAAAACTTTGCACCCACTCTTACTTCCTGACCTCAACTCTAAGTGACCTTAACATTCACAACTGACAGGTTTTTTTCATATGAACCACTGTCATGTTGAGAAGGATGCAACATATAGTTTGTCCTTATCAACACTGTGGTAGACTAATAGAACATAAAAAGGATCTTCCTGAGCGTCCTGAGTAATGACAGCCAAACTAAGGCAGTTAAGTGAGGACATAAAACATTTCAAATGGGTCCCACGGCTATCTTGCAGCTCTCAATCATATCGGCCTGGTGAATCCCACCACACATCTTGAAAATAGAAAGACAAGCAGAGAGCGCACTGTTAGTGTAGTGTCTATGATAGAAACAAAAAAGAATATACCTGCACTCATAGGAAGGAGAGCTGAAATTTGTTTATCTGACCTAAGCAACCGGTCTAACCATAACCAAAGGTCAGGGTAATGCTACAACATGTCCAGGATCACGGGAACAACACAACTGATGATATATCCTACGCGGCCGTCAGATATTCAAGAGGAGTTGGAGTCCTTTCTTTAATGGAGTGTCAATAATGGAGACGGTGAAGCATAAGGGGGTTCCTATTGCCTGCCTTTAGAAAGCAATATGGATAAAGAAATAGAAAGACACTTGTTACTATATACAGTTCCAACAGAATATAGATTTTGGCCACAGGCTATGGTAGATGAACAAAGTGTAGATATCTTAGAGAGAGAATGTATTATGGAAGGTGGTAGACCAAATGTAAAGCTCTGCAGACAAAAAGAACCCGTGGGAAAACTATATCATTATCTAGCTCCTCGAGCACTATGACTACCTCTACCCTGACTTCTTTATGAATAAGCCCATAGAATTATACAAAAGATAAAAGAACGTTTTTGTTTGGATACCTTGACCTTGTCCTCCCTCCTCCTATTTTCTTTTCTTAAGAGATAGAACAAACTCTGCCCCTAGCAAAACAAAAATATATACAATAATTTACACTCCCATACCTTAGATTAGCCTTTTTGAACCAGGTCTTGAAATTTACACACAGCATCATGCCTTTTAATGGTGCAGGTGAGCTGGCTGCCACCTGCATTGAAATGAATGACGCTAATGCAGGGAGGGTGGGATCCTTTCAGAAAAGGACAGGAGTATGCCTCTCTATGCCATGCTGTCTGATGTGATGTCAGGACTCTGATGTGAAGGGGGGACTAGGACTCGGAGTCATTACACACCACCCGGTGTCCTTATTGGCCGGGAAGCCGGGTCCATGCTCCCTCGTCACTTGGCAAGCATGGGCGTTGCCGGGGCACGCACACTCTGGCTTCTCACTTGGGGTGCTACATGCGTGCCTCCGGCGCTCAAAGGGTCTCCAAGTCACATTAAGTTTTTAAACATGGTCGCCGCGGCATGGTGGCCCAGTGCAGGATCAGTGTGATCTGCATATCTTGCTGATGCAGACCATACTGATCGCTCCCTTGTGGTGCTGTTGCTCACAGGTAGGAGCGATCTGTATATTCTGCATCAGCCAGAGATGCAGATCACACTGATCCTCCTCTGGACCACCAGGATAATCCCCAAGTGCCCCATTGGACCCCAATGATGCAGCCCCCTCACTGCAAAACAGGTAAGCAGGAGAGGGGGCAATGTTTAATTATTCATTTTTATTAATTGTGTGTGTTTTAATGAGTGTGTGTGATGTGTGTGTTTCTTAATGAAGATGATGTGTGTGCGTGTGTATGTTTTTAATAAGTGTGTGATGTGTGTGTTTTATTGAGTTTGTGATGTGTGTGTTTTAATGTGTGTGCGTTTTATTGAATGTGTGATGTGTGTGTTTCATTATGTGTGTCCTGTGTGTGTTTTTTTTTTATGTGTGTGATGTGTGTGTTTTAATGCATGTGTAATATGTGTGTTTTTTTTTTTTAGAAAAACAAGTTTTATTAAGTTTTCCGATAGTACAAAGATTGAAAACATTCAGACAAACATTTGCCTGTGTGCATAGTCACATATGAGAAAAAGATGGTAACCGCATACATTTATAACCAGCCTTTGTAGCAAGGTGCACATGGGAAGGCTTACATCAATACAAAACACAAAAAGTCCCCAGCACACCTGCCAGCTAGTCTGCAACAAAACAAATTACCCGGGGGGCGTGTCCAGGACCTGATGGCGTTCAGACGTGTCTAACAGGAGCTCCGGTATAGCCACCCGCTAATTTAATATCCCGTACCAGCTTGACTACACTAATCGCCGATATCATCATGGGGAGACGCACCGGAAAAGCGGAGGCTCCTAAAACACCTTCAGCAGGTATAAAAAAGTACCTAGCAGCAGATAGGCGAACGCCGGCCACGCCGCGAGCTGCGGCCTACTCCACGTTGCGGGCCCAAGTATCCCCGGACTCATCTCCCCCCCCTCCTCCCTTCTCTCCGCCCCTCCTTTCTGCTACTTGGCTATCCTTTACCCTCTGCCTGTTTCTCTTATTACTGGGGTTTACCTGGTATTTGTTTTTTGTGTCCTGCAACCGTCTAGGTATAGATGTAAATAGCCTTTTACAAATGTAGGCTGCATTATAAGTGACGTGAGTACCTAATGACACATGGACCTGATGGTTGGTATTATGTATGTTTATCTGTAGAATCTTTTGCAAATATCAATAAAAATTTAATATTTAAAAAAACAAAAACAAATTACCCCGTCTAACAGTATGCGTTAAAAGCAGAGGTTTTAGTTGCACAAACCTTTGGCCAAAAATATGTAGAAGCCACACTGCCACCGTCAAGGCACCTCTGTAAAGTGAGGTCCTAACTCTATTTATACGAGTCTCCTAGTAGGAGCATATTGATGCAGTTGATAAATTGAATGCAGGTGTACCAGGAGGTAGCCTACTCCTCCTCACAAGGTGCAGGGACGCACTTGAGGCCCAGCAACCACAGATGCATGCTGGGATCCCCAATGCGTCACTACATCCAAGATAGTCAAACCAGAAAAAGATGGTAACCGCATACATTTATGACTGCGGGATGTGGGTGATGTGTGTGTGTTTCATTACGTGTGTGTTTTATTGAGTGTATAAATGTTTGAAGATGTGTGTTTCCCTACTTTACCTAAGGC